TACCGCACCGAAAAAATTGTATTTCGTCAAAGAATTTGATTGTTTACCCCAATTTTTAAAGTGGACCGAAGTACAAATCATCCGATCAAGTAAGTAAAACGCATGTCGCATATTATTATATCTTAATAATCTATTGGAAATCTAAATTAGCGATGACAGTTGATGGTTTCAAAAAATCTCGCGAAATTCAAATCTATGATTTTTATTTTTCATTATTTTTTTATTTTTTTGAATTGAGAGAGATTTATTACTCGAAAAACACAATATAAACTATTCAAAGATATAATAATTACCTWTACCTTTAAAGTAACCTTATAATAATATTTCAAACTTTTGAACATGAAGTATTTAACTATTGAATTGGTTCTATTATTTATGAAAGAAGTATTGAGATGGTTTTCCATTGAGACTATTGGGCTCCTACAATTTCCTCTCTTTGTAATTTTAAAAATAGTTTGTAAATGAGAAGTTTATTTCATTGGTTTCAATTATTTATTATTTATTCATTCATATCAAAATTTTTCTGGTCAAGTAATGTATAGAGATTGATTGCGGCAGTATCTTATGTACAAGTTTGGTACAACTAGATACTAAGTTTAATAGTTAAGGATTGCAGTTGTCTTAGTCTTGGAAGATACTAATCAGGATGTTTACCAATTACTTTTTGTGTACTGTGTTCTTGAAAAGGTGCATTGAATGTGCTTGAAGAAAATAATAAATAACTAGTGGAGTGGATGTACTTCCCCAACTCACCCACCATTAAAATTATTATGATTCAAATTCTATGTAACTCAAATATTTAATACATTTTCAAATATGAAATATATATCTTTTTACTAATTATGTTAGGTTGAATAATTGGTTCTTTGGTTTACCCAAAATACGTACAATCATCATATTTCGGAAAGGTGGAATCTCGGGTGGAATAATAAATTTGCAACATTGTGAAAATTAATCATCCAAATATTTGGCATTTTATTGAAGCTCTACTACAGATRAGCAACTCAAATGCATCAATAAAAATTTTAAATTATAGAGCTGGAGCTTTTCGTAATAATTTAGGCAAAGGTGACGGGCTAAAGTATGAGGAAGTTTTTCAAATGATGATATTTAAAAATTTTTAATTTCCATGAGCTAGCTAACTATTTAGTTTTTTTTTTATTTGTATTATTTAATTTTATATTTTAATATTATTCTTATTACTCTTATTGTATTACTACATTAATTATTTATTTGCATTTATATTTTGTATATTGTTTAATATTTATAATTTTTATAATTTATATTAGGGAATTTTATATTGATAGTAATGATGTATTATTGTTGTATATTTATATAATAATTTAATATTTTAATTTTTTGTCCGAGGAGAAGTTGTTTTGGAGGGTAAATGTCCGTTGTATCAGAAAGAGAGGGGACATCCTAGATTCACTTGACTCATAACCCTAAACACCAGTTAAGGAAAACTTTAGAAGTTGAAAACTCCCTTTGTTCCACTGATTTAAACTTAAGCATATTATTAAATTAGCCTTCCAAAAAATTTTCATATTTTAATATCTAACAATATTTAAGTCCTATAAAAGTTTTCTAAAAAATATTTTATTGAATTTTCAAGCTATTAGGTATAACAATTGAAACTATAATGTTATTTAAATTCAATAATTCAGATTTTGATGGTATGTATAGACTGACTATTTATTTCATATGWTAATTACTTTTGCAAATTACTAGGACACCTACCCAATTAATAATTAGCTACATAAGAAAAAATATTTGCAGTACCTAATTTTTTTATCCAATTTTTAATAATTACATAATG